GAAATATTTTTAATATAAAGCATAACAATAATTTTAATTTACTGTCCAGGAGCTAATTCCAACACGGGAATGCCGAATGAATAACTTTATCCAATTGGTGGTGTTCATTATATTTTTTTTAAAATTAACGCATTCGTGGATGCATAATATATTTTCATGTTAGAAATGTATAGAATAATTTTGAGCATTTGTTCTTGTATATCCTATGAGTAATAAGCACAAACTATTGTTTTTATATGGTTGATCTCAGATTATGTTGTAGTGTGGCCGTGTTGTTTGACCGATTTTATCCATTTTCCACACGATCCTGCGTGCAAGAACAGTACTTGATATATTTGCGCATCTATTACGCATACTTTGCTTTATCCAAAAAAAAAAAAAAAAAGCGCAAAGGCTCTAAACAAACAATGGCGTACGTAATATAAATTAATATGGCGGAGCACACTCTTGTTGTCAAAATTGCGCCAATATGAATAACGCAGCTGTACAATAGATATACAATATTCAGCAGATTTGTGCGGAGGTTAGAAATTCCTAACTTATATCAAAGGAGATGCAGATCTTTAATCAACTTTTCCATTCTGTTGACTTCATTCGTTCTACAATTCATTCATTATTTGACTAATCAATTAATTCGTTCACCTACGCATGCATTCACTCCCTCACTCATTCGTTTATTCGTTCACTTACTAGCGCAGTGAATCAAACTAGATAAAACTAGATTTTCAAAAAGAAATACACATATAATAATTGCTAGGAACTGAAGATACACCGAAAGAATTTCTGGGCAAACTATACGATTCTTAGATGGGTCTCCATTTCAATACAATATATATAGATTGTGTAAATTAGTTTTATACTCACTTTTAATTTGTTCAATTTGTGCAGTTTCTTCAATTTAGCGACTAAACTATTTATTTATGTTTTCACAATTTTACCAAATTTCTTCAATTTAGAAAATTTTATTTAAAAAATATTTTAATTTTTTGCAACTTTTCACCCGATTTCAATTTTTCACCAAGCTGTTTATGCACTGGTAAAATGGCTTTAATATTTCGCTAAAAGCGGTTAGCTGTTATTTTCCTTTACATGGTTTATGAAAAAAAGTACTATGTGTGGAGAATGGGGAGAGCACAGAGTTGTTTTGAATAAATTGCAACGCTTGGATTCTGTTAAAGTGAGAAATTTGTATTCCATTCTCTTGAGAGCATTAAAACTATATTCTCCACTGCTAGAAGCACAAAAAACACACCAACGCCTGAAGCTAAAAAGGAGCCGGAATTAACTGCCATCCGCCTGAGTGGCCGAGTAGGCAAGAGTCTCGACTAGCAACTCAATAGTCGTGGGTTCAAACCTCAAGTGCGGTAGAGTTTTTTAATAAAAGCCGATAGCCCTAGATGCTAGTGCTTTAAGACTTTAGTCTTAGAATTTATTCTCTGGCTAAATTTATAATAATAATAATAATAAATAATAACTGTCTGTTGTCTAGTTTGTACCATGGCCTTACGAAATCCTGGGTGCCATCCTCGTTCACACCCAATCCTTTGCCCGGTGACCAACCCCTCTAGCATTCTACTTCCGAAACGATTTGCATCTGAAAAATTGGTTCCAAATAATCATTTAAAGTATTCACTTGATATGCGAAATTTGGATAACATTGTACTGTCTCTCAGAACTTCCTGCATGTAAGAATTTTCATAAGAAGGAATCCCCAATAAGCGAACGAATTTTATTTTAAATATTACGTAAAGAGAATAAGTGACTAATAAAAAGTTCTTTCAAAAAAAAAACAAAGACAAAATTTCTCAGTTTACACTTTGCAGCCTCTAGCATATAGAATCATCTAATCAGTGGTTCATGGGAGTGTTCAGGGTTCTGAATCGATTTAAGCATTTATGTCCCTGTGCTCATCTATCCGCCTTACTTTCTTGTGTTCAGGCCGCGATTTTCTAGATTTTGGATGAAATTTGGTGCACTAACTTATTTTCGCCTAATGAAGAACCATGTCCTATTATAGTGTTTTTATTTGTTTTAATTTGTAATAAAAAGTAGACATCATCAAGAATTTTCTTTTATTTTAAAAATTGATCCATACCATCATTTTCATTTAAAAATGGTCTCATGTAAATAATCGATTCTGAATTTTTGTAAAATCTCAGTTCTAGAATATCAATTATTGCCACTTTTCCACATAAATCTGCTCTTATTTCATCAATAACATGAAGAGTCTTGGAGAATAAGGTCACGAGACTTTGCGGTTTATTGTAGTAAGCGAATTCCGCAATATAAGCCAAAGGCAAGCTTGCTTTTGGAGATTACATTATCGTTGAACGGTTGTTGTAAAGGACTGAAACTCCGACGAGATGTTACAATATTTTATTAACCATCACATCCAAACCGTCCAAACCGAAATCATGTACATCAACTCGCAGATTTAAATATTATTTGTGTTATATTAACAACGAATAGTCTGAATAAGCTCAAATAGCGAATAATTATGAAATTTAACGAAATTTTCATTCGAAGCATTGCAATTTATTAAAAGCAACTCTGTTTTCTTTCTATTCTCTCAACACATGATACTTTTTTTATTAACCTTGTAAAGGAAAAAACCAACTAACGGTTTCCTGCATCAGCAAAACCATTTTACAAGTCGAACAAAGAACTTTGAGCAAATAAAAAATAAAGTGCAAAATTGCTAAATAAATCGAAGAATTTTTTAAATTTCTTAGCTAAGCCTGTGGTGTTTTTCTGAGATCTCTTTGTAAAACACCTGCGCTCGTTTAGATCTGCAATGAATCGCTTACTAGGAATGTGAACAAGTCCTGGATACAAAACGTATTTAAACGTCCGAAACGTCATTTCCTCCGAAATTTTGCGTAGACAAATCTCAAACATTGGGATTCAGTTGCTTGTAACCCGCGCTCCAGTGTATATCAAAGGGTGAAGGGATGGTTGTGATTTACGGCACGACATTTTATTCTATCTTAAAATGGCTGGAACCCAAGAAGCAACCTTCAACTTGGGCTGAGAGCGTCTACTGATTGCGCCGTATTTGTCAGACCCATCTCATAATCAAAAACGACAATTTCAGGCAACACATCTCCCACAAAACTTATTTTTGGAATGGCAAGTGTCCTTTAGGAACATTAGACGTGTTTTCTTTGCACCAAACGAGCAGTAATTCTTTTTTAGAGAATCATTTAACCAAATACAAGTTCTGACATGCACAAAACTATTTCTGTACGCTGTACAACCAGCCTTGTTTTCGAGAAATAAAGGCAGAAATGTATTTTATTACGTTCGCAAGTCTTTATCAAAATGCCTGAACTGAGAAATTCATATGAAATTTTTAATTTTCGAACTTTAATACGACAAGTTGTTGCTGTTAAAAGATACTTGAGCGGCGATCGTTTATTTTATTGTCCCATCTACAAAAGCGACGTCATATCTGATCCTTTTTTTTCTTTTTACTGAAATAAGAAATATTTTATTTAGAATTAAATAAAATATAATAACCTTTTATTAAACTAATGTTTTTTCATAATTTAACATTTTTTTTTTTTTTGCAAAGTTTTTCACTTTTTTTTAGCTATTGCAAAAAATAAAAACAATATAAATTTGAATAAAGAACTTTACGCTTTTATGTATAACATGTGTTTTAAAATGAAAAAAATATTTCTTTTTTTTTTAAATGCAATAATAGATAAACAGCAGGTAAGAAAAATTGCCAGTTGTTATATAATTTTTTTTTTTTAATTATGTTTCTTTCGTGTTTTGAAATTAAATAATTATTACATCAAAATATATTTTGGAAAAAGAAAAAAAGTTTGCGAATTACATTATAAATATATTTAAAAAAATGTCTTTTTTTTGCTATGAATTTTGTGTAAAAAGAAAAATATAAATACCTTCATGTGTTTTTTTTTTTCCTTTTATTTTTTTACATAAGTCATGAAAGTTAGACTTTAAATTTCCACATTAACAAATTGTTAAAGGATTTTTTTTTTTCTTACTTATCAAAACAAATACAAAATACAATCAAAAAGAATTTTTTTTTTTTTGTGTCAAATTATACAACAGAGATCAAAACTGAATCGAGCAAGATAATTTTTAATTTGTACATTATGGAGTGTGAAAGATGACGAGGGTGTTAAAGACAAAAATTTAGTATATATGAAAATGAAAAAAAAAAAAAAAATACGAAGCAGAGAGAAAAGAGAGAAAAAGAGAAATGCTTTAAGATTGTAAAAAATCGAAATCAATACTTTTTGCTCACAAAGATTCTGGCAAATACTAGTTGTACTCTCAAAAGTTAAATGTTTTTCTTAAATGGAAATTAGAATTTTTTTTCTTTTCCAATCATGCACATTATTTATTTTGATTGCTTTTTAATATTTAAGAAAACAGAAGGCCTTCTATATAAGTTCGTTTTACGTTGGCTTAAACTGATACACACACCTAGACTGATTATATAATATATTTGCAAAATACAATTATACTCATTTTAAATACTACACCAATTGCTTTAAGTCATTTGATTTGATTATTTTGCTTCAAAAAAAAAATATTTTTTTTTTAAATTTCATTCTTGATAAACTTGGTTATGTGTATAGATTCAATTTAGCTATAAATTTGGGAAAAAATTTTTCCTTTCGAAAAGTTTAGCACGATTCGGTTTTGCATCTGTCTAAAGTTATTATTTATTTTTTTATTTATTTAATTTCCTTAGAGCTTTGTTTAAATATTTCTTTTTTTTTTTATTTTCCCTTTTGTTTTTTTATTATCTAATTAATGTCAGGACTAGTTTAGCTTTTAAGTAAAGAGAGAGAGAGAGAGAGAGAGAGAGGAAGGCGGAGAGACTAAGAGAAGAAGGACAAGTTAGTATAACGTAGTCACTGTTGTTTAATTTAAGTTTTATATCAGGAGAACGGATTTCATTTATGAGTGAGTCTCGAGTATTTTTAATGTCATTTTTTATACAGCGTATCCCAAAAAGAGTTTTTTTTTTTTATTATTATTTTGTTCATTGGCATTTTTAACTGAGTTCCGGTCTGATTCTTTTACCATCGAGTTTTTTAGGAGTTTGTACAACAACATCAATAGTAACATCACTGTCTTCACCAGTTACAGTATTCGAACCAGCCATAGCTTCACGATTGCGTCGCTTAATTTCTTGCAATTTCTTGCGTTGTACTTCACGTTTAACGGCTGCTACCGATGGAGTGCTGTTGATACTATTCGTGGAGCTATTACGATTTTTGCTTAATGGTGTCTTCACAGTTCTTGGCGTTCTATTGACACTGGTCTTCAATTCTTTAGGTTTCTAGGATGTAGAAATAGGAGACTAATTATTATGACAATCGAAATGAATCAAGTAAACTTGAGTTAAATCTACTAGCTTACTGAACTGGGCAACGCTTTGTGTTATGAAATCATAGGTGCAATTAGTGAATAGAAAGTGTGATCCAGCAAACTTTTGCTGTTACTTCAAAAAGTTTAACAACGATATTTGTTGAAACTTTGAAGATTCGAGCTTCTTTGATACCATCTTTATTTAAAAGTTACCAAAGGATAAAACTACGATCATACATCATCGTCATCCGTCCAGCCTCACAGTTTACTATGGGAAATGCTGCACCTTTCGATCATCGAAATTGAACTGCACCAAATTCAAATGGACACTACTACATGCTGGACACTACTATTTGGTTCTCAGTGGATCCTTTGATATCTAAACGGTAAAATCTCTGCTGCCAAAAATGTGCTTGATTGTAAACGAGCAGGTTAAGTAAATTCATTATTTTTGTAAAAAATAAAAAGTCTATAGAACCAAGAAATATTCCTCCTACTATGCAGACTATTAGTAAGCAAACTTGGGAAGAATTTAATTAAATGGGGCAATCCATTCTATAACTACAGAGAACAATTTAAAATATAGTGTAATGGAAGGGATCAAAAAGAAGATGAAAATAATGCCAGTAGATATTATTTAAGGTGAAAAGTTGATGCAATGCTGGAACTTAGACTTAGTTGGTTATCAATTGAGTATTCAATCTTCACCGAGTGACTGCGCTGAGAAAAACGTAGTAATGGATAATAGTTAAGGTGAAAAAATGGCGAGAAGCAGCACATTTTTTTGCAAATTATTATAGCAGATTAAGTGACTTGCAACCATCAGATTGATCTATCAAGTTATACAAGACGAAAAACAGGTATAAGGACTAATGGAATACGGACCACCACTTCGCTTAATACAGTTATTCATATGACAACCTTTTGCAGTACGATGTTATACGGGAAGTGATTGGAAACGTAGTCGGATACGAATCATTTTCAATAGCTTTTGCCGTTTGGCCAAAACATGCTAACGTATCCAATTTCACCAAAATATCGGCAAATTATGACTCGTAGGTTGAGCACAAGAAAACAAGACGGAGAGACAAGCACTTTCTGAATCGATCGGTATAATAAAAGTTGGATTTATCTCAAGTACGTCCGCAAAAACTTAATATACTCTTGTGACACGTATGATGTAAGGCATAATAGCGTGGAACAATTATATAATGAACTACTTGAAAAGTATGTCTTCAAGTTTTGGTGATTGACTGATAATGGAGCAGTGCACATGGTACAGATGTGATCACTGCAAATCATAATAGAGATCCAAAACGCATCGACAAAGCATTGTTTCACTACTTCTTTTTGGAAATTATCACATGTAATAAACCTATTCTTTTAAAACCTAATTAATTCCCAGTTTATAAAACTTTGACAGATAGCTTTCCGTTAGCCGTCAATAAGCCGAATAGAGTCGAATATATAAGAGCCGAATAAATAAGATTTTCTACAAACCTTCCAACCATTCTGCTTTAGCTCTTCTATTTCGTTAAATAACGAATCTACATGATCGATTTGCAGATAAACCATGTCCCAGAATCCTTGCAAATCATCCAATGTGGTAGGAAACTTATCATCCGAAGAATTTTTCAAATTTTTGTGGCACAAGCCTTTAAGAAACAAACAAAAAACAAAAACAAAGAACAATTTTTGTTTTATGTTGGAATGAAAAAAAAAGAATAAGAAAATACACACATTCCCGCTTACCTTCAAATTGTTTCATTTTTTGTGATACTAGCAGTCTAGCTTTACCAGAAGCGGAACGCAAAAATCCCATTACATCTTCGCTTACTTCAGAATTATGCTAAGAGATTACAAAAACGTAAGCGAAAGTGACGTCATTCTCTCTCTCTTAACATATCACCTTAATGCATACCTTTAAAGTCTCCATACATTTTTCTGCCTCGCTGGCCATGTTCAGTAAGCGAGCTTGTTCCATTTTAAGCTGTTGCAAAAAGTAATGACCATCTTTACCCGTCTCAGAAAAGCCATTTGTTGTTGCTTTTTGCATTTTATTTTCAGCTTTAGTAATTACATTTTTCGTTTCAGGTGAATGAAACTGTGATTCTATTTGCACGCATCTTTCATGATCTACTTCATCTCTCTCGTTTGATGATTTTCTGTTTTGTACATTTATTAATAATTTCACGTCGTGTTGTTGCTTTTGCGTCGCAGCATCATCATCGCCATTTAAATTTTGTCGATTATACTCTTGCTCTACTACGCTGGTTGAAATACGTTGCAAGTAATTTCTTTTTGGCGATATTGTGGGTAATTGAGCTCGAAACTCTTGACTTAAATGTCTTAAACAGGGCAAATCAACATTGTTGTTTCCCTCCAATTGATTATTTTCATTTCCTATTGGAGTAGGATTAGTCGGTAAATTGGCGGATCTCCCGCTGAATTCAAATTTCTTACGAAATTGATTATAGTCTTTGCTGGGCGATAATTCTTGAAATTTACGAGCTAACTCTGTCGTAGCCGTAGTCGTGATCGCTAGGCCTTCCGTCGACTCACTGCCATTTATCGATGCACTTTCTTTCTTTTTGGGACTGTAAAAGCCTGGAGCCAATGCTCCCGGCCCATATAAACGCTCGACACGTTGCTGTATAAAACTTAACTTTGGACATTCTTTTTGACTCTCACCATTCTCTGTATGATTGTTGTTGTCACCTCTGATATATTTAATGCCGCTATTATTGCTATTACTTTTAGGTGATGTCAGGTGTGATTGCGGCGACTTAGGATTTACATTCGGCATGGTTAAAAGTATAGGGGGAGCTAAACAATTATTTTTCTTGCAATACTGTAAACTGCTCGAGGATGGCCTTATAGGCGAGACTTCACGCGATTTATTAATGTCTTGGCGGATTTTCGAATCGTATGTCGTAATATTCGAGTAACCGTTAACGCAACATGCCAAATTCAAATAGCTCGGTTTCTTTTCGTAACTGCCGTTATCAGGTGTTTGTGGTGTAACGATCGTTTTATAGGTTAATTCCGAGTTATCAATATTGTTATTCGTAATGGTGGGCGGTTGAGTTAAAGCTATACACACTTGACCGGTAGTTGGATCCACATAAGCGGTAGTATTCTTAACCGTTTGTACTGAACAACGTTCACGTATATTATTAGTAAATTCGCGAGTTATATCTTTAATGGAGATGGGTGTGGGAAAATTTAAACTGCCACTGGTATCTGAAGGAAAATTTCAATAAAATTGCATTAAAAAAACTGTAAATAATTTTTTGAAGGAAATTAAAAATTAAATTAAAAGAAAAAAGTGCTTAACGAAAAGAACAAAAGACAAAATAAATTAATGAAATAATAAGAACCATAACCTCTTTAAAGACCCAATTTTATATTTATAAAATATAATCCATAATCCATTAGGCTAAGTTCTAAAGCTAACTTCAAATACTGACGAATTTCATGTGCGAATCGAATTTCCAAATTACTTATCGCTTCCTTCCCCTCCGTCCTTTGTGCAAATATTAACAACGGGTTCAGATATTTAGCTTGAGAATAATTTTTTCGATACGTACCATTTATATGTGGATATCAACAGAACTGATTATGATTGCATTAAGCTTCTTTCTGATCCTTCAAAGTATAACTTTATAATGCATGTAGTGTAGTGTGGCTTAAGTGCACTGTTCGCCCACTTTTTCTACCTACTTTCCCAGGACGTTAAGGTATTTGATAGAATTAGAATTGATTAGGCAGATATGCGAACAGGCTGATCGGAGCTCCTTTTAACTGGTTGCTGTTAATTACCTTTCTTAAAGCCTTACAGATAACCAGTTCGGACACGACACCGTTTCACTACATACCTAAGTACACGGATCTACTGATCAATCCAATCCAACTTAGCTTTAGGCTTATAAATGCTGACAACTGCAAGTCCTATATCGCGGTTATTGTCTTTTGATATCCCGGGCCAGCATCGACTTCGAATCTTATCCGAATAAATAATGGATATACACCCAACTCTTTTTTCACACGTTTTTTTACCCAATCTTCAAATAACACGGTTTACCAATAAGAACCAAAACATTTTTTCTACACAAATTTTTTACTCCAACTTGAATTTTCGGGAAAGTTTTCTTAGTGATTTAATCTGCTCGGAGGAATACCCGTATCATTTTTGTACTTATCTCGTCAAACTGCAACTTGAGCTAGGCATCTCGTCTTAAAGTGTTGAGCTGATAGGTTGCAATAAATAATTTCCATAAAGTTCTAAAAGTTAGTGTTCATTGGTTAATGGTCCAGCCCGTAACAAACGTATATGCTTGTTATTACCAAGTAGCGAAATCAATTATTATTCGTATATAATTTCGAGTCATATAAGAAAAATGAATGGTTTTTGTTTTATAAATAATTAATAGGAAATTTCATTATTACTGTTTTGGACGGTTTTTATGGGAAAATCTTTACTTTTTTCATCTTGTACGATTTTTTAAGGTTTTGGAACTTAACCTAAATTTACCACATATCGCATCTACTTTTTCACACGATTTTTTTTGCGCTGCTTTATAAGGAATGTATCTACTTCGTACAAAAAGAGTTGGTAGATAAGAGCCAAAAGTATCTATTTTGTAAGCCGTATTTCCCGTCCACCGGTAACAGATATAATAATACGGTCTTCAATGTGAAAAGGAAAAGCCTTCATTTTTCAAAATCTAGGCAAACCAAAATAGCTTTAGCTGTGTGATTTAAGTTTCCAGTAACGTGCTTTATGTAGAGAAGAAGCTTTTCTAAAATTAGCGCAGAGAATGAGATAAGCTTTCCTAAGATGAATTCAGAGCCAAAGTCACATTTCCCAAATATGATTTATGTTCATCGAGAATGCAAAACATTATCTTACGGATAAGCGATTCATAAGTGATATGCGATACACCTCTCATTCCCCTTCTATGTATGAAAAACAAGATCGAAAAATAATCACCTTTAGTGATAAGCATTAAGTGTGTCGTTATAACATAGCCCTTGTACCACAAAGAGAAAAAAATTGGTGCGGACGTGGCCGACACTCGGGCGGACTTGAAACAGACCCATCTTTCTTACACCGTCTAATACAGAAACACTTTCTTCCGTTCAATGTCAAGATCGCAAAATTTTGTAGATATTTTGATAGACTTTGACACATCCAAGTTTTGATCTGAGCTCGTCTCTCCGCTTATCGACTTGTATTCTTGTTTGGCCTACACGTTGCAATTTATGCAAGATTTTGATGGAATTTTATACGGGGATCTTTTTTTTTGACTCAACGATATTGAAAATGTTTCGGATCGAAACACTTTCTCGTGTCCTTCCCCTGTAACGTCTTATTTCGTATTGTAACGTATTTAATCGTGGATTTTGGTATACTACGTCTCTTCTTAGGTGTTAAGAGTACTTAAAAATCCTAAAGTGCAATTATCATCTCTTTAAGTAAAGTAATCAAGTAAACTAAAAAAAATGTATGCTAATAATGAACAAAAATGGATTTCGGATTATTTTTATATATGCATTAACATAAACTCTTTATATATGGTGTGTATAGCTTAGAAAATAATTTTAAAGTAATTCCCAGAAAAAATATGTTCCCTTAGAGAATAGAAATTGAATTGAGTTTATTAACATTTAACAAATAATAACAACAAAGAAAAAAATCCATAAGAACGTTGGTTAGTATTCAGAAGAAAAACGAGAAAAAAATTTTAATTTTCTTTACACACATTGCAGTTGTCCTGCCATATAGGAGGATAGAGGTAAGAGTAAAATAGGAAAAAAATAAAAATAAAAAATAAATAAATAAATCAATAAAAGGAAAAAAGGCTTGAGGTGTATATACATTTCAAATAAAGAAGCGAGGCTGGAATTGAATTTGTTTTGATTAAATAGCAGAAAAAAGGAAAACTTTTTCATTTTAATACAAAAAAAAAAAAAAAAAATGTAAACTTTTATATACAATTGTTTTGCGATTTTCTTTGAACAGTAGTAGTGAGTAAAGTTTTTGTATTATTTTATTTTATTTTTTTTTTAATGCGTTGATACCTGTACCTGAAATATCCGTTGATTCGGCATCAACATCTAGCGAACAGCTGCCAATCGAGTCCATACTTCGATCCATAATATTTGCTTTAAAGTCTTTTTGTATTTTGTATTTTGTATTTTTTTTTTTTTTTTGTTTTTATTTTTGGGTTTTTTAATACAACAACAATTTCTCTTTGGATGTTGCTACTATATAGTAAGATTGACTATTGCTTTCACTGATTATGTTTATCTTTATGCTTTTATTGCCAACGTGGATATAATGATGTTTTTTTTTTTTTGTTTTGAAAACTTAAAATTGCACCATTTATGTTACAGTTGGGAAGAGACAGAGAGAGAGAGAGAGAGAGAGAATTAAGAAAAACAAACAAAAAAAAAAAAAATTCATATGTATATAAAAAATGAAACGAAGAGACACAACAACAACACACACGAAAATGAAATAAATGTTTAATATACCTATATGTGTAAAAATAATTTCATCTTTTCATACCCACCACCGAAACATGGAAATTCATTGTGTATGCCTGCCTAAGTGTTCGTAAGAAAATTTAAATCCATGCAGGCACACACAACCGAACGCGATTAAGTTTAG